GCTGCCCAGGCGGGTCTTGAACCTGCGGGCTCAGGCAATCCACTCACCTCAGCCTCCCAAAGGCGTGGGATTACAGGCTGAGCCACCGAACCCGGTTTAAATTTTTTTTTTTTTAATTTACTTTCATCAGGTTTTTAAAAAATTGTATGATACGATCTGTCATCTCCTATTTGGTTTTGTCACTCAAGACTGAGACTGTTTTAAAAATTCATCCAAAGTGCCACTTATAACCATATGAAGTTTTATGTTTGCAAAATTCTTTCAAAAACTTTATTATCTCATTTGATTCCTATGCCTGACAGATGTTACTGTCCTTACTGAGAAAATTGTAAGTAAAAATGCAACCAGGTGCCCAGGCACAGACCCCAGCTGAGAGCAGGTATAGTGAAGGCACCATCCCTCTACCTAAACACCCCCAGGACTGGCAGCTCGCACGACACCAGCATGGATGGACAGTGCCCTGTGTCAACCAGAAGAGGACTGCAAGGAGGAGGAGGCCGCTCCCTGTGCCCAGGCTATGGGGTTAGACAAAAGAGCCCCTGCCCAGCCCCCAACTAGACACGGCAGAGCACACGCTGTCGGGCGCTGCTGGGCCAGGGCCTGTCAGCACAGCTGCATAAGGCAGCCTGCCCATGCCAAGGCCTCGTGGGCAAGAAGCCGCAGGGCAGAAGGATCCCAGTCCTCAGGGAGCTGATGGTCTCTGCTCAAGTCTGCGCACCAGCTGGGGGAGGGCAGGCCCACAGGCCTGACTAGCCACACAGGTCAGTGCCGAAGGCTCATGGCCACCCCTGGACACTCACGGCTAATACGAACTCGAGGCATGAAGCATTGTGCGGGGCATGGGGTGTGGGGAGGAGCGGAGGCACAGGGGCTGTGTTTGAGATAAGCGTGCGAAACCCTAAGACATGGCCCACTGGTAAGCGTCTTAAGGATGTTAAAAATGCCACAGGACGACGAGAAAGGGAAGGCAACCCTGCCTGCCTGGAAGCAGAGTGTCTGAGCTGGGCCTTGGAACCCTAGAGGCATGTGAGCGGCATATGGGGACAGGGAGGTGGGGGCAGGGCTCTCTGGACGGGGAGAAACCACGGACAGAACCAGGAAGGACAACGGGAGATGAGGGGAAAGGCCATGATGGCCCCAGAGGGCTGGGGCCAGATGCAGCAGGGTGTGGTCAGGGTCAAGGTGTCCTGGCATCAAGTTTTACAAAGTAGTGCCCAGCAGTCAAGAGGAATGAGGTGAAAGGTGAAAGTTTCAGAGTGCACAGCCTCCGGGGACAATGGAATCCTAAGTTTCACGTAACCCTTTGCACTTGAATGTCCCCTCTGAGGGGACATCGTAAATCTAGCAAACTGCTCTAATGTCCTCTCAGGGGACAGAGAGACTGCTGGTGATTATACAGAAAAAACATATCCCAGTGCAAATTTTTCAAAATGTATGTTTCCTTGAAGTTTTCCATTCAAATTGCATGGACAAGCAAAGAGATGGAATCCACACTGATATATGATCGATCAGTTGAGAAGCAGTTTTCATGAATCACAAGTGCATCCTTCCATATTGTCTTCAAACAACAGACTGGACAATAAATTACATACTATTAATGTGGGAGGAAGAAAACGAGACTGCACTGTCTGCTCTAATAGAAAAACATCAAGTGGAAAATGTCACACAAGTTACTACTACATGACATGTATCAATGAACCTGCAATGCATGTCACACGTTACCGCATAAAAATATAAGATGAAATTTTGATTTTTTGGTCATACGTTCTTTGATGTTCAAAATTCCATTATAAGCCAAATATCATTACAATAAAGTTACTGGTTCCCATGCTAGACTATTTAATATGCAATGATCAATTTTTCACCATTTCATAAAGAAGTATGGTTGAACTGCTGGTAGGTGATCTGCGACACATCTCCGAGTACAGAGGTTTAAACGTGGATGAATATGTCTTTACAGGAAAAGGTTCTGATACTAGTTCAAAAGAGATATTGCTTTTCGTGCTGACACAGTTGAATGACACAGGTCACATTTTTTTTTTTGAGTTGGAGTCTCACTCTGTCGCCCAGACTGGAGTACAGTGGCTGCTCCCGGCCACTGCAGCCTTGACCTGCTGGGCTCCGGCGATCCTTCCA